CGAGATTCATCAATGTTTTTTACTGAAGCCACACAGAAGGCTTTATTTGAATTCTAGGTAGAGAATAATTTCATCACGTTTCAATATTACAAAGGAACATATACTAAAACCTTTCAGAAACGGAATGTTGCATTTACTATTCACAATAACAGCTTATAGTGGAACTGCGCTCACAAAATTCGATTCCACGAAATACTCAGAACTCAAATCTGTATTTTGTAATCCATTCACACAATGTTCGATGTACTATATACATAAACAATACACACACATACACGTTACACGTGTCTAGTAATCATGTATAAAATACCAGGAACTACAATTGTTTTGGTGATCAAAACTAAAATTACACAATTCATAAAATGAAACAAATCTTTAGTTGAGAAACATATTACTACTTTATTAGGTATGTGTAAAAGAAATATTGAAAAAAGATAGCATATTAATTAATTGTTTTGCATAATCCGTCCGAAAGTTTTCTGTCGTTAAGTATTTAATATTTTTTGCATTAGATAAAATACGTAAACAAAAATAGTACTATTCTTTTATATTGTCTATTTTAATTAGGTCTCCTTTATTAGAACTTAATAGAAAAGTTAAATTTGAATACTAAATAACCAAGTAAAACAAATCAATTAATATTAGTGCAGTACTTTATCCGATTAAAACAACTGTACCAAAATATGTGTAACATATTTCGAAGGTACGACGGCTTATAAATCGATGTAAGTCGGCTGGACGCATGAAATAGCCTAACCCTACTGACCCGATGTTGGGTTCAGTCTGGACCGAGAATGTAAGTGTGAAAGCGGAATCAACGATAGAGGCACTATCGGCTTACAAGCTTTGTACCTTTACAAAACAATAATAATTCAGTTATAGAAATGTATGCATTTTTTCTTTCAAGCATTCTTCTTTTCAACTAAGCTGAGAGAAAATATAGCGAATCTAAAGTCTAAAATACTTAACTAAATTAATGTAATCAAGATTTTAATCGAATTTGTTTTCTAGGTCCATATAATAAAACGGTACTCTGTCTTTTAAAAAAATCTGTATATTCTATTTCAGAAAGCTTTATCATTTCGCGAAATAAATCTTATTGTATATTTTTGTTTTGTTATTGAAGATCAATTTATGATATGTTAAAGATTTGAAGGACCTTTTTAATTAGTTCTGGGTAAGAGAAAATACTTTCAAGTAGAATGTAATGTCTTATTGCTATGAGAATGTTTTTCTTTCTCAATATGTAAAGTGGCCTGTAATGATTTCGTAGAAGTACAACAAAGAATATGTAACATTTATTTCTTCAATAACGTATAATTCGCTAACTATTCCTTGTACTCGTTATTGGAAAATGTTTATATAATATTAATTATAATAAATAAAATGTTATTTTACTTTATAAAAGCAAAGGTCAAAAACTATTTTCCGCTCCTGTAATACAAAGTACGCACGCGAACAGTGATTGACGGCTCGCAAGTTAGCTACGTCAGCAAACTTCAATGGATGTTTTGGAACATGAGAGTTCAAGGCTAGCTCAAAACATGTTTGTCGAACACAAAGGCAACACCAGAGGGCGCTACGGATAAAAATATATCAAAGCACGACGGTTCCGGTAAAAAATATTTCACAACAAAATAAAATTTCACCGTCATCTGACTTCATAATACCTAATAGTTTTTATAAAATATAAGACTATTCCAAGACCAGTGCGAATGAATCCTTAGATAAAAAATATAAGAAAACTCTTCTAATACTCAATTAGCAACAAATTAACGCCGATTATGCTAGGTATTATGAGGTTTATTGATGGAAATCCGCTTGAACTCACAAAGCTGCCGGCAATAGTCTACAGCGAGAGTTCACGGCCAGTCATATAATATTATAGAATTACATTGTTTTATCATAAGCGTCTCGTTGTGTAATAACAAAGTATTATTTATCTCCATTCATTTTTAGTTAGATTGTATTGATATGAATTTTTATTTCATATGTGTACAGACGCGAATTTATACTATGAAATATACGAAATGAATATTGTTATTAAAATAAAGCAAAGTAAGTCTTAAATTGGAAAAGTATTTGTGTTTGGTTTCAAGTGAGTGACAATATTTTACATGAGATCTGACAATATTTTTTTTGCATGTAATTTTTTATATTATTCAGGCATATCACGGTTTCTTTCCTACATATACATACATCTTCATACCTTCAACAAGTTTGTGATAGCATATTTAATTCATTATAGCTTTTCATTAATTTAATCGATTAAGCGTATTCCAGTAGCAATGCAATCATAAAATAAATACTAGAGGAGAATGTATTTATAGGTTAATTTAAACAACGTGAAACATGTATGAGAACACTGCAAATCCTCAAATTCAAAAGAGACAGTTTTGAAAACGAGATACGATCCAATGTAAATATAAAATTAGACTACGGGTACATAATACATGTCAAAATTATAACAACAAGAGCTCTCCTACACTCATTTCTCAAGTATCGTAATTAGGATTTATTCAAAAAAAAAAAAAACAAATAAATAATACAACACTCAAATTATTTTTGATTGCGACGTAAACATGAGATTATTTTTTTTTGAGAGTCAATTGTTTTCACATAAAAACAATTATAAGAAAAAAATACTTACTCATTTTCACTATGTAGACTTTATGTTTTAAATCATTTCTTTTACAAAATTTATATTCATTTTTAATAAACTATTATAATGATCGCTTATACAGTTTATTTCTAAAAATTTTTAAGGATTATAATTTTTATAAAAATATGTATACACAGTTTATGAAATCGGAACATATTTATTTATTCTTTCTTATTGTGATTAAAAGCTCCTTTACTTTCCAAGAGGTATTAAAGCAATTATTTGTTATTTTTGCTAAGTGAGCATATTATAATTTCTTCAGCCTTATTCAGACAAGGATTTATACAAGATTATTAATGAAGTTAAAACTGTTCATATAAAATGAACCAGTATTTTTTATTGGTAATTAATTAATTATTCTATCCTTACCTTTAATATATATCCCATACTTATAATATCGGTAGTCAAAATAGTGATGCCGGCGTATTTATTTACACTGTGGCTTCAATGGGATATTGGTACCCATTGTTTATACACGTTGCTATTTGAAAAGCCCGCAGGGCGCCATTGGTGTAAGCCAATTAACTGCAATACAGTGCATTGATTCGCAACAGATTGAGGTAACCGAAAATCCCTTTCAGACCTCAATTACAGTTCGCCTTTGTTTTATAAGACGACAAACTTAACGTTTACGGGTAGTTGAAAATTTTGGGAGACGTTTAGCCACGCATATCATAGTATACAACATATTTTTTGATATTCTAAGATCTTTAATTGTATTACATTAGTCAATTCGCTAGTGAAAAACGTTTCTGAATAATAATGTATTAGAAATACGATCAATGGAAAATAGAAAATAACTATAAAATATATAAATCGTTTGCTTGAATATAAAGAACAATGATGTCTATAAATTAGTTTTGTCTAAACTTTAAATGTTAATTTTCTACTAAACTCCATTAAGTATTAAGTAACTTTGTTAGACCACGTCAAAGTGTACAAACTTTAATATAACGTTACGAGCTTTAAACATTTTTAAGTTTATCTAAAACCTCACTATTACTTAGCTCATTTGAACGACTTATAATTAATTATTTCGTATTTTAAATTACATGTCAGGAATTGCAAGTCAATCTCGCTGAAATATACTAGGTGACATTTGACGGACATATGAAGATTGACAAATCAAATAGATTTTTTTGGTTTAGCTTTTGTATACATAATAGTGTGTAAACACCTTTATTTAATTCGATGAACTCCTTCGTGTTTTCTTCAGACACTACTCAAGATTATAATTCATGCTACAAATAAAAACGTTGACACGATTTCAGTGCGAATAAAGGTATACCATAGAAAAGTATACTATTATGTTGTGAGAATTTTATAATCATCAAATTTGTTTTTATAAGTACGGGGACGGAATAAATGTTTTCTTTTAACACATGTAAATTTATTAACTTATTACGGGATCGGTTATAATATGTTTTTTTTTAAGTTAAGAGCATTTGGTCAAAACTTTAGTTCATTAGATATTGGATCGGATTATGCATTTACACTTTGAAACTTTATCTGTACCTTTGATTCACTCTCGCATGTTAGTTCTCTATAATTTAAATACATTCAATACACATTGCGAATGCACATCTGCTTGTTTTAATGATGTGTGTCATTGAAAATATTGATATATGTAGCGTAGATAATATAATTTTGTGCGTTGTAATAAAGTAATTATATTAAACCTAAATTGACATCTACGATAAAATGGTTTTAGACTGCAATACAAACTTAATTTATTCGAACTTAATTTTGGAAGAACACAAAATAAGAATGTGAATAATATATGCAGTATAACATTGTTTAACTTCATCCAAAAAAATAAAGGTGGAATAAATTTTCTTTTCTTTATATTCATTAAGATAGCGGGATATGTGTTATTAGATTTTCATAATGCTTAATATACTCGTATATGAATCTAGCGAATAACTGATTTTATTTATTCTAAACTTTTTTCCAGTTAGAATATAATTTTTTAAGTCTAATAAAAAGATAACGGCTCGCACTATAAAGCGGTTGAAATCTCAAAGGCCAGAGCGATGATAGGTCGTGTCCATGGCAACAACTTTTGTAAATTGTTTTTCGTTTCCATGAAAATACTATTGTGCAAGGCTTTGCTTCCTAATCTCTCGATAGGATAATACATTGATTTGTTTATTCTCGTTCAAGAAAAAGAGGATTACTTGTATAAAATAAAAATTGTAAGTAAAGTTTTTATTTATATAAACAGGTATTGTTTCTTTTGTTTTGCATAAACAAGATTGTCTGAAACTGAAAGACGCTTCTAATATAAATATGTATTTTTTATAGTGTTAGCTTTGTTTGAGAGGGAAATTTTGGCAGGATGGGAGATGAGGAGCCAGCTTCACTTGATGGCCAATTCTTTGAGTTCGCAAAACTGATGGATAAGAAGCGAGATGGTAAAACAATCACTCTTTATAATTCCGACTTCTGGCTGAGGCAGTGCAAAATTTTAGACGACAGAAAGGTCACGATGACTGATACAGGCATCTTATTTAATAAATTTGGGTAAAATCATTTCTCTATATATCTTTTACCTTTGTACTTTGTTTGTAATTATTCACAATTTATATAAAAAACGCCAAATGATAGATATATTAATTAGCTGGATTTAATATCATGGGACGGTTTCATTAAGGTTGATTTGTTAAAAAATAAAAATGAACAATTAATAATTCTATTTCTATGCAAAATTATAAGCTGTGAAATGTTTTAATGTCTTATTTGGTAATTCCATCATAGAGACATGTAACAAAAATTTCAAAACTATCTTTTATATTAGTATTTTAAATTAAGTCTCCAATTATTTCAGTAAGTCGGAGATAAATTGGGATGAATGGAACGAATTCTTAGTGGATCTATGTGAGTTGAAAGGAATGGATTTAGAAAAGGCACAAGATACTTTAACAAACTGCGGCCTTCCCGGTCAAACTCCAGTTGTAGTTCCACAATACAGAGACTTCTTTCTTACTTACAAACCTAAGGAAAAAATGCTATTCTAAATATTATAGAATTCTAATACAATTTATTTTATTGTTATGTAAGCAGTTTGTTAATTTAACTCGGGTAAGCCTAGTTTCTAAAATAATAAGCTATGATATAGCTACATGATTCAAACAGGGTAACCAAAGACTTTTAAACTTTTAACTTCAATTGGGAATATATGCCACTATTAAAAGTTCCTTTGTTTTAAGCCAAATATGTATATTTAAAATTTCTTATATACGAATAAAATATAATAGTTATATTAAAAGAATCTCTTTTCATTTAATGAATTTGTAAACGTTATATGTGTTAATATTAAAATTATTAGTACAAAAAATATAAAAAATATATGATTGTTTAAATAAAATAGACTATGGAGTGAGCCATCACCAATCAATACATACCTCAGCAATGCGATTATGTGTTTTCGTTGTAGTAAAACAACTGTAGACGTAATAGTCTTATGGAAGTTGTGCTAACTTCTATTCTACTTTAGACTTATAATGCTTCTCAAACATGTTCATCCAGTTTGAAACAACGTGTAGCTTGCAAATATTTTACTAATGAACTATGTACTATATTAAATGATATACACTATTCAGTGCGGTGATTATAAAGGTATTTGAACAAATAACTTTGTTCCTATACAATCTGCTAATGACTTGTTATCAAGTTCTTAAATGAAACCACATTGTCTACATTTTACTATGGATCTTTGTGGATCATGATTGAGGCAACCAAGGCTTTTTAAACACAGTAACTGGATACTGTGACGATAGGCATTATTTTTTACTCTCGACCCAATGGAAGGGAGGGGTTGTTATATAAATATATAGTATATAAATTTAACGTCGATTTTCGTATGTCTGTTACATATTTGTCAAACGGATGGATCGATATAGACTATGTATTTTAAATTTTTAAGGAAATAGTAAATGTTTTCAATAGTATTCTATAGTCTATTTGGTGGTGAGTGCTTAAAATATGATGACGGTTATGTACGCGCTACATATGAAGAAAAAAATGAACGTCGCCGGGGTGACATCTTTCTATCGGTAGAATATCATATAACGAGTGACGCCGCTGACTCTATGGAACAAACACCAAGCCGTGTGAACAAGAAGATTCCTTACACCACACAAGCAATAGAATGCCATTGTCATCCTAATATCGGAGCAATTAGGTATAGGTTTTAACATGTAATTTGTATTTTAATATACATGTTACGTAGTTTTCCTGGAACCTCCAGTTGCCACCCTACATAATTCCGTTTGTTGTTTGTAATCAATAGTAAGGTAGATTAAGTTTAACGCAGATGCATATTATTTGATGCAACTTAAGTATGGGTTACTCTAAATACTTTTAAAGGAAATGTTCAATCCTTGGGTTATATATTTAATATGTACGTAGCATTGTTGATTTTGAAATCCAAAATTTATATACGTTTATATATGATCCAAAATTTATATATGATCTTATGTTTTGGGGTTATTAGTTAACTGAAATTATTAATACTATAGTTATAGTATTAATAATTTAAAAGGGCTTAAGCCAAATGGTTAAATTTGTTATTTAAAATAATTACTAAAGTCAGAGTATAAGTAAACCTTACGATACTTTCTTAGCTTCACACTAAGACCATACTCACTTGGAAGAAGTAATAAATTTAATTATTTGTGAACAATAATTTTAATTTTTTGATTATTTAAATTTTATTTTATTTTTACCTATTTGCATAGATTCAGCTCAATAAGCTTAGCAGAATAAAAATAAACAGATATATCAAATTTAATTGTGAGTGTCAAAGTATTGCTTTAAAAAAAATACCACTATTCGCTTATTAAATTATTTCTTACTATTAAAAATCAAACAATAATTTTAAATGAAAAGAGAAAGGAATTAAAAAATATAATACTAAAGGGGCAATGATTTGTCTGAGCTTGTAAAACACTTACCGTTGTTTAGTACTCCGAGATAGCGGTCGATGCATTCTTTGAGGTTGGTAACTTCAAGGTTCTTCAAGGTTATTATTTTATCTTGCCCTAGTTGTAATTTATCTTGGGGCTGTAACAATTAAAAACATTTTATATTTCACTTCAAATATTCTGGAGCTATACGAGTAGGCTACTATTTTAATTATATATTTATTTCGGTAATCCAATAGTGCTTATAATAATGACATGATAAAGTATAACTAAACAATACTAAGACCAATACAGGTTAAAGTAAAAGTATAAACATAAACGTAACTTAAGTATTAATTAATAATGGATCACTAATCTTATTAGCAAGACTGTTCGTTGTGTGAGCGAATGTGTGTGTGTGGGTGGGTGTGAGCGTGTTCGTGTGTAGGTAAGTGTGTGTGTGTGTGTGTGCATTTGTGTATTTTAAAAATAAATTAAGATGACACTTGTTTTTTAAAGCCTTTTTAAATTCTAATTTCTTCATATTCAATATGTCTAAGTCAGAAAACAAGTCGTTATAGGTAGTGGCTAAACGATTTACTAAGCAGTTGCTTCCGTATTTTGGTCTCATCGCCGGTGTATCAAATAATTTTGTCAGACGAGTACGTCGATTTGGTACTCAGAATTGTACCAAAGATAATTAATTGTAAATTGTACAGTTCGCTGCAGTCTATTTCGTTTGACAGAAGTGAATAAAGCATCATCATATCATATTGCTTGCGACGCGTCTCTAATGAATGCATGTTATAATGACGGCAAGCCTCAGTATCAAATTATTTATGGTCTTTAATAAATTTAAATTTATATTGAAAAAGGGTAAAAGGTTGATAATTTTTTAATAAATTAATAATTCCTAAAATCACAGGATTCAAATATCAAATTCACTTGAACTTATTTGTATTTCTAGATCTGAGACATTAAATGTTTTTTGATTCATTAAGATAAAAATTATTTTAGAAAAAGACAAATAGAAAAAGAGTGGTAGGTCACTGGCATTATTTCCATTAAAATCTATCATAATGTTAGCTCAGACTTTTTCTCTTAAGAAAAAAAATTTTTAAGCTTATAATAATCAGAAGAATAGCGTCTTAAGTTTTTGTGTATCTATTTAAAAATATTGCCTGCAAAAACATTCCAACACCAATTAGTGTACGTATTTAATCCTATTTAGAAGAAACTGGGAATGCTGTGTTACAGTGCTATGTTACAGTGCGATGTATAGGATTTGTTTTAAAAATTACATTGCATGTTTATGTATCGTAAAAGATAAACATATCAATAATTTATATCAGAATGGTTTGTTTTTTACCATCAATTTAAACCTTTGGATTGTAACGCTTACTGTACTGTCAAGTTTCATCTATTTTATTTTTATTTTGTTAACGCGGTGAAAGGTTTATACCTACCCCTATGTCTAGAGGAGACGAAGGCGGTTAAGTGGGATTCTCGGGCCAGAAGGGCCAATGCTACCCACTAAAACACCAGCGGTCACTCTCCGTCGCCGCCTAGTGGATCGCCACGGGAATCGCCGAAACATACATCCGCGACGATCCGGCAGCAGGCAGCGAACGGCCACCTCCCCCCCCCACCGAGGGCTCACTCCAAGTGACTAGGAGCGTCCCCCCGCCTGGCGGGCTTAACCGCAAGACCCTTACCCCTCCCACCCAAGCCCACGCGGCCAGTCTCCAAGCACCCACCGACGAGCGCAAGCGCCCGACGGCAGACAGAGCGGACACCGGCCATCAAGCGAACTCAGGCTTACGGAGAGACCTGAGTTTCCCCTCCCCCCACCCCCAAGACAACCTCGAACGGCCTCCTGCCATCCATGAACGTCTAACTCCCAGGGCTGCACCCTCAGCCCGGGGCCAAGACCCCACAAGGAGTTCACGTCCCGACGCCGGATCATCTATTTTAACTGCGATTTACTCCTTAAATTCTCTTTATTTCAATACGTACTTTTACAATATAATTTCTGAAAAAAAGGAAATGTTTCATATTTTTGTTCACCTTTCATATAAATAACAGCAATGTCACTGTCTTAAAATAGCAAACCTTTCAGCAAACCTGTAGACATAAACTGTGTGATCTGCGAAATATATATCGGCACATGTAGCATTTACCGAAGATTGGATACACCATTGATTACTCATTCATTCTATTAATATATTACGGAACTCCAAAGGTACGTGATAATAGCGTTTAAAATGTTTATAGTACTTTAAAATAGATTTGAAATGGACACTGACGTGTTCTGTTTTATTATTTGTATAACAAAACAATTATTTCTCATTATAAACAAAGAAACCTATGTAAGCCAAGTAATAAAACAATGGAAAAATAAGCGTAATTTCTTTAAAAATATCTTTAAGAGATACGTTTACGAAAGTGCACAAAGGAGAAAAGGTTAGTGTTCAAATGAGACAACTACAAAACCGAGCTACAAATCTATGAAGAGTCTATATTTTGCTTAGTTTAGCAAGCCGATAATTTAATACATTTAGCCTAAAATGCAGTGTATTGAGCTCTCAATTATTGAGATATATGATTATAAGGAATTAATTTCAGGATCTATTTCTGGGTACACATTGTTAGAGAAATATTTGTTTAGTAATAAATATATGACATGATATTATATAATATAAATATCAATTCAAACGAAAACTTTATTCCAATTTCATTACATATTCAATCAATGCATATTAATTAATTTAGACTATCTATTTGTAATATTGAAATAATCGCCTTTTACTGGATGGATGATTATGAATACACATTGGTAAATGTACACAAAATTTGTCTAATAGTACCTGATAGCCCTGAAACCGTTCCACTGATTTCGACGAAGCTTTAAATGACATGTTATAGTGTATGTAGTATAAAGTAATTAAGGCTACGCTATTGAAAACAGTATTCATTAATTATGATGTGATAATAATTTACAGATTATTTAATAAATCAAAATGATCATTTAATATGAAGTCTTAAAATGAAACAACCATCACACAAAAGGTTTGCATAAGAGCAGAGTGTATTCGTCGATAGTTCAAAAATAT